CATGGTATGAGGCCACGAAGCAGAGAAGTATTCGAGAAAGTTAATGAAAGTCCCGAGCACGATCAAAAGGATTTATATAAAAGAAGTCGGGGACTGACCAGGAATGAAATCCCTAACTGATGAAAAGGTAAACACTGACCTGACTCCTCCTGAACCTCCCGAACCATAGGACTCAAAATGTCTGAACGTGATCCGGAGAATGTTTATACACATGCTGCCAATAGAACAAAGTAACACTCCGCCAATCGAAAGGCAATTGAGGCAAGTTCATATAAGCGAGCTTTTATCCGATGTGGGAGATTTATAGTAAGGCAACTTATTTACTCATCCACGCAGATTGAATGTTATGAAAGGGGTTGATGGGTAATTCTTGGGAACTGTGATGATCTGGGTGACAAAAGTAACTAAACTCGCCGAGATAGTCGAAAGTGTGTTCGGATAAACAAGAAATTGCAGGCGATTCCAAGGAGATGTATACCAAATTGTAGCAGTGATTCATTAGAACAAAATAGGCGAAAAATCATGGAAGGAAGTGTTGAATCATTAGAGTTGTGCAGATTAGGATGACTAGTATTAATAGGATGACTAGTATTAATAGTTCGTGATGAGATGGTCAAAATTTTGAACGGTCGGACGGAAAGTATAAGAATCGCTGAACAACCGAAAAAAATTTCCTAATAACAGTGTCGCGGTCAAGTGGCCCTCTCCCCAGAAACTTTCATTCTTCGAATAACTCCAAAATGACAGCAGTTGACCATATCGATGAAAATTTCTGTATCAGTGAGCACTCCAGTGCGGGACCCTGAAGGAGAAAATGTTCACTAAAAGCATATGAATGCTTGGTGAAATCAATCATTTTGTGGAACACCTACATGATTTAGTAATTCTCGAAGTTGATCTCTTCTGCAAACTGCATATACGCTAGATTTTGCCCAGCAACCGAATGGTTCGCCGATATTAACAGATAAAAACTCTTTTGATCTATCAGAAAAATACAAATGTTAACCACGAATATGCTTATTGTCAGTGTTATAACAAGAATTTTGATGACATATTTATAATATGGCTGTGAGATTTAACTGCATTGCTTGTTTTGCCGCGAATGATCTATGTGTTGATCAGTCAATGCTCAGATGTAATGTCATAAATAACATCACCTTCAGGTGATTCTTA